TCTGACTGGCGCATAACTATAGACACCTGCAATAGAAATGGAATGTCACTGCCCAGGTAGAAATGGAAATATGGAAACCCTAGTTACTGAGTAATTTTTTAAAAATTCAATGTGTTCACGTAGGAGAATATTTTGCTGGGCCTTCAGTGTGCTTTAAACATAATTTCCTGAGGGTAATTCTCTCACAGTGATTTTGAGGGCATACTCGACAGAAACACAGCTCTTCTTCAGACTTTGTGGCTAGAATTTCTCTGTAGGAGGAATTAAAAACGGAAGGAGCCGTTACTATGCTCACTATGTAATTTCACAGCGAATGCAAGAGCAGCGAAGGAAGGTAGAGAACGCTGCCGAGTTATTTACTCCAAGTTCTCCCAAAGGGCATCTCTTTAAACATCCACAAAGACTTCAAGGCAGAGAGTAGCTGAATTTGGTGAAACTGGGTTGAGTATGGTTAATGGTTGTTTTTCTAAGAAAACTGAAAAAAATGAAAACTATAAATGAACCAGCATTTTATCTGCTGCAACTCACTGCAGGCAGATTTGATGGTTTGTTAGGCAACTGTTTTGCTATGAACTACACTGTAGAGGTAATATGAAATGTGGTTTTATTTTAAATTCACCTTTTAAAATTTTAATTGTGGAAAATTATGGAAATGTTGAAATGCCAGCCTGTAACTAAGAACACAGAATTTAAAAATTAAATGTTTTCTTCTAATTTATTGGTTTTCAATGAAATAAAAGTGAAAATAGCTAAAATACAAAAAAACTGAGTTCCAATTCTGCTGTGATTGACACAGTGGACCAAAACTTAAATCATCTGCAGCAGAAATTAACAGCTTTGGATCTGTTGTTATAACTTAGGACAAGGAAGACAAGAATAACAAATCCACACTCGTTGCACAAATCTGTTTAAACCAATGTTTTAACTTTTATCAAATAATTCCTAGCTTCAAAATTAGAAGGGCTAACAGCCACAGACACTTAGAACTACAGAAAAAATTGGTACATATCTTTAAAAGATACATATAATGTACTTCCTTATTAAAAATGTCTAAATTCTTAAAGGAAGCATCCTGGCATAAATTATACAATATTGAGAAATATGGTCTACAGAAAAAGACAAAAATCAAGACGAAAGAAGCCTAAGTGCACCAGTTAAAGACAAACAATTTTATATATTTGTATATTTTCCTGAGAGATAAAGGCAGAGCAAGAGAGCTAAACAGAGAATTTTTTAAATTTGAAAATTGGCTTTTCTTTTTAAAAAAATATGCAGTGCAAGGTGAATGGTATATTTTTATCTCTTATAATTTGTTGTAACAATGTCTCAAATTATCCACTTGGTATAGTAATTGCTATATGCTTTTTAACTGTGTTTAAATTTTTGCAAATTATCAGTTACTTTTTCCATAATGATGTCCTCCCCTGCTCTCAAACCTAAATTATCAGTAAGGATTTGTACAAAAGACAGTGGCCTGACCAGAGCTGTCCTTTAGAGTAATACTTCTCAAACATTTAAAGATTCTTTTTATGCTTTTAAAAATCATTGAAAACTCCAGAAACTTTTCTTGATGTTGGTGTTATAATTCCCCCACTAGAAGTTGAAACCAAAACAAATTTAAAGCCAACTGATTCAACAAAATGACAATGAATTCATTATATACTAAGGCAAATACATTTTGGTGAAAAATTACTTTTCAAACAAAAATGCTTAGTAAGAAAAGATTTGTTCTTTTACATTTTGGCAAATAATGTCTGATTTAATAGATGAGAATCAATCTAATATCTGATTTTGTATTCACTCTGTGGCAATATGGTATTTTCACTCAAGTACAGGGAGAAAGTACAACACTGCATGGATATATTGCTAGAAAAAACCTTATAATAGCTTGTTCTAATAATCATGAATATTTTTGATGTTCCATATGCAAAAATATTGCATATTTTTTCTTAATGCTTAGTTCCTCTAGGACTGAAGCTATGTCAATAAATTTTCATGCTGTTGCATTAAAATCCATTGACCCATCCTGCACTTCGAGCAATCTTTCACATTTAGATAATCTTGTTTAACATCTTTCATTGGCCTTTGTAATACTTGGTTCTGAGTTATACACATCTTTCAATTGTTAATACTTTTCATTATAAAATATTTTCTGATTTACACTCATTGCTGTCACTGTCAATTTAATTGTTAAAGAGATTTTAACTAAGGAGTACAAGTTGTGAAAATATTCTACTTTTCACATGAATGCACATTATTTATAATTGCAGTAAAGCCTTGATGTGACAACCTTACTTAAGCCATTTTAAAGGTAATGTCTGCTAAATACACACATCTGCGTGACTACAGATTGTCTATTAGTACTTGCTTCATGTAAAACCGGTACTGTGAGAAAGACCACTCATTCACCTCAGAACTCAGTCATAGAAGTGTTTTCCCTGAAGACAACCATCCCATTGCAGCATGCAGAAATGTTCTTCCAGTTTTGTCAAACAGCAAGTCTTGTGCCCAATACCAAGATTTTATCTTATCCAATCAATATGTATCGCGTCTCCATCAAAGACATTCTTAACTGAGAATGGCATTTTCTTTTAACACCAGCTTGTTCCGATTCAGAAGACAACAACTACTTGCACAGTGTTCCTGCCGATATCATGCTTTTCATTAAGGAAAAAAAAAGTGCTTTGCATTACTTACCACTGCTTCAGCCCTAGAAATACACGAATATCACCATGGTGGGAAAGCTTCAAACAGTCCCTTAGCATAACTATGAAAGTAGTTTCGGTCTCATGGATCCACTAAAAGTCTATGGTGGGAGCTCAGATATTCTGTGTGTAGACTGTGTATCTCCAACCCCATCTTTGGAGAATTTCTCTGATAGGGTTCCTAAAGAGTATATGCAGCTTCTCTACTCCCATTTCCCATTGTTTTACCAGATAATATTAATCTGAAGTATTCCTTTAAGGGAGCACACTACCAAAGCTGGTGATATAGCTCAGCGGTAGAGTGCTTGCCTAGCATGCACAAGCTCTGAGTTCGGTCCCCAGTACCGACAAAAAAAGACCAAACTTAGGCACAATGCCTGCCTGGCAAACGTGAGATCATGAGTTCAATCCCTGGTACCAAAAATCAAAACAAAACAAAAATAAATAAATAAAAGGGCATACCACCAAGCATTCTCCCTTTGGCCTAATCAACTATACTACCAAATAACTACTCCATATTACTACTCAAAATGGTGAAAGTCATAAAAAATGAGGAAGGACTAAAAACTGTCACAGATCAGACGAGACTGACTAGCTAGACCAACTTAAATTAACGAAGTACATTCTTAATGAGAAATTTACAAAAGTCAAATAGTGTGGAATGTAGTAATTGTAATGCTGATTAATTTAGTTTTGACAAATATGCCACATCAAATGTCAACCATGAGGGAAACGGAGAAATACACTTACTGTTTTCATTGTTTTAGTTATGGTTAGTATTGACTATCAATTTGCTTTGATCGAGACACAAGTAGAGGTGACCGGACTGTGATGCTGCTAACTTTATCCATGGACTGACCGGCGGGGCAGGGGAGCTCTAGCTGGGTGGGCTATCAGGAAGGGAAGCCTTCTTGGAGGAAGTAGGTCCCTGGGCTTGTGCTTTTGAAGAGTAAAATTTGTCCCCGCCCCTTCCTCTCTGCATGTCCTCTTCCTGTTTTCTGGCTGCCGTGAGGTGAGTCACTTTCCTCTACCACGCCGTTTCTGCCTTGGAGTCAGCTGACCACGGACAGAACCCTCTGGGACCTTGAGCCCAAACAAGGGCTTCTTTTCTCCTTCAAGGTATATTAGTGTATTAGTAGGTATATTAGTCAGAGTGATGTAAGAGAGATAGGTACAGCAACTTCCAGTAAGTCTGCAATTTTTCTCCACTTCCACAGCTTTTTTTAAAAAATGAAGTTGTTGGGAGGTTGGGGGTTGGTTAAAGCAGGTCATACTACTCCTCAGTTCAAAATCTATTGAATATCTAGCTGACACACAGTTAAAGCCCAAGGGCTTAAAATCCCTGCTAAAAGGGACAGGAACAAACTTCAGTGTCTTTCTTCCTGGGATGAAATATCCAACTCTCATAACTCAGAGGATGGCAGGCTTATTTTGGCTGAGAGTTGTACTCCATGGTTGGCCAGCCCAAGGCAGGAAAGCATGGCTGAAGGGTCTGAGAGAGGGAAAGCTACTCGCCACATCCCGGCAGGAAGGAAGCAGAGGGAGAAGGGGCTGCCCTGGAGGAAGCTGCGTCCTTCCAGGTCACACCACTACTGTTCGCTCACTAATCAGGCTCCGATTGCTAACAGCAGTCAGCATTCTCACCCTAATAGTTCAAAGCGAGCAACTTCCAAATGCCCTGCCTCTGAGCAGAGGAAACTCTTGCAGGGCATCTAGATATAAACCATAAGACTTTGTGATGTCTTTTCCTGGTGATATTTCTCTCACTTTGCTTCAGGCATGAAGAGCTCTAGACTGTTTTATGCTACATTTAACATCTGTTTGCCTCAGGACCTTTGCATTGCTTTCCCCTCTGCCAGGAACACTCTTCTGCCAGATAGCAGAATGGCTGATTCCCTTACAGTCTTTAGGTTCAGCATACTAGGAAGGGTTTATTTTACCACTCTGTATAATCACCTTCCATCCCACTCAGACAGTTATTCCTTTTATCTTGCGTTTTTCCACCTAACATCTAAATGTGTCTGTTTGCTTATTGTCTTCCTCCTGGAATGAGATATTCTTAAAAACAAAGACTTTGTTTCAACATTATGTTTCATTTTAACATTGGATCTTCAATTGATTTCATAAATTCACTCAAAACTCTTGATAATATTTAATAAAATTACAGAGTTTTTTAAAAATGTCTTTTCTTTTCAAAACAAATTAGTTGAAACTCTTATGTGTTTATTTTCAAAAGTGTTTCTCAGACCTGTACTGGTATGAGACTTCCAAAACTTTGTTGTTTTTTACCTGTAGATACTACAAGGTCCTAGAAGATTTGAGAAAAATATGGATTAAATATCAGAATGAGACTGCATTTCAAGAGCCACCATTATCACTGTATGTGTTACTAGTATGAAATAGGAATTTGACTGTTATGTCTTATAAAATCTTATGTCTCTGATAAGCTCTCTAAAGATTCTTAGCTCAAAACACCTCTCAATAGATTTTATCTTTTGAGGGGCATTATTTTTACCTATCTATAAAACACACAAACAGGCAAGAAAGAGATTTTGGGAACTTCTAATATAAACATTTAGCTAAAGGATGTAGTTTTGATGCTTCTTTAATTTTTCCCATGTGACTACATAGGTCTCCTGTTTTGTAATGTGTATATATTATATATATATTTAATTTTAATTCACTTTACCAGATGTGACAATCTCGGTAAAAACACATAATATTAGAATAGAAAGTCCTTCAAGGTCTGATTGCATTGTCCTTGGTTAATTGTGCCTAACTATCTATTCAAACTTTGAAACCTTTTTTAAAAATTACACTTTACATCATTTATAAATAACAATAGAAAATTATAGGCAATGCTGCTGTATTTTAAGTTATCATATTTCTTAAAAGACAAATGGGTTTCCTTATGTTTCCAGAATTCTGGATGATAAAAGAAAACTTTTATTGGATTCTGAGATGTGTCTAATTGCTAATTCTTACTTTTTACATTTTTAAAAAAATTTTGATGCAGAGATTATTGTAATTGGCCTGAAAAAAATAATTTTAAGTTTTTAATAATGAAACAGGTACACCTACAAACTACTAATTCCTTATCTGCCTGGCCTCCACTGACCCAGCTCTCAGAAAGCTGCTACAGGGTTCTGAGTAATTATAACTCAGTAGTGCTGAAAACAACATTTGATATATGGCAAATATAGAAATGTTTTAAAGTCATCAAATTATTAGAGCACGAAAGAAAGTTTGGGGTTGGAAATACAATCAACAGTTTCATAAAAATAACCAAATAGAAGCAAATAACCAAATTTGCTTTCCAAATAGAAGTTAAAGAACTCCATCGATTTATGTTTTGTTTTTTGGTACCAGGAATTGAACTCAGGACCTTGTGCTTGCCAGGCAGGCACCTATGCCACTGAGCTATATCCCTGGCCAACTCCATTGATTTAAACCAAGCTCCAAACTACTTGTAAACTTTAGGTGTCAGAGTATTGTCTTGTGAATGAATTACATCCTATGCATTTCAATGCTTTCTTTCCAGTCAAGGTGGCACTTTCAGTTCATTTTTTGAGCTTTTCCACTGCTTCTGATGTGCAGCAGTGTGGAAAGCAGAATATGACAGGAGGAGGAGGAAGAGGAGGGAGAGGCAAAGGGCAAGAGGAGCGGGTGACCAGAGAGAGCTACGTAGCTCTGGGGGAGAGACTGAAACAGCTACATTAAACTGTAAATGCGGGCGAGACTGTCAGTTCACCGTCCGCAGACCCAGACCTCAGATGCAGATCAGGATGCAGAGAGCTGATTTCCGCAATTCAATGAAGATATCATACAATGCACAGTGAGCTGATTTTAATTCTCAAGTGTTTAAGATATTGTGTCTTATTTCCTGCCCTCTTTCCCTTTCTTCCATGAAAGGAGGATGAAAACAGTGGCTTGGGTCACTTAGGACCATAGTTACATGAAGACTCATATGTACCTTAAAAGAAGCAGTGTGATGAATTAACGAGTGGGCAACTTGGAACACTCAGCTGAACTGAATCAGCGTGGTGCTGGTTGTGGAAGGCCCACCCGAGGACTGTTGCCAGTGGCATAAAGGGAGAACTGCAGCGGGAGGTGGTGTGCTGCTATTGATTCTCCTGGACAAGCTTGTCACGCTGGCTTTCCTGATATAAACTCAGCTGTTATGGACAGAAGAGCCAAGCTCCTCTCTATTGCTGAGGATGGCTACGGTTCTCTTTGGGGGAGCACTGGTTCTTACTTTGGACTTCGCTTTCTGGCTCCAGTGTAGATACCGCAGCCTGCTGGCACAGATCCTTCATCCTGCTGGCACAGACTTTCTAGATTCCACCACTGACCTTTGGGCCTTCCCAGTGTAGATCCTTCAAACAGACCTGCGTGAGACATTATCATGGCTCTAGGCCTCCAGCTGGACTTGTGGAGGACATTGCCATGGGTTCTAGGTCTTCACCTGGACTCATGCAGGACATTGCCATGGTCTCTAGTGTCTCCAAGTACAAATCTCTTGTACTCTTCTGCCTTTGACTTTTTGGATAAATATCATAAAATAATTCTCCAAATTATGTGTCCTGTATCAAATCTATTCCCTTGCAAACCCTAATTACAACAAGGAGGGGGAGAACTCCAATTTGTAGCCCAGCCCAAACTCAACCCAGATATTGGCTGTCTGTACCGCACGTCACCCTGGGATGTTTGTGCAATGAACATCCTAGGAAGAGAGAGATAGCACTTCCCTCTACAGCGCAATGTTTGTTACCCTGTAGGATAATGAGCGCCATATTTTCCTTCAAGACAGAAGTGAAATCCTATTGATTATTGCCGATAGAAAGATTTGGGTTCCCTACAGGGGGCACCTTGATGTCGGGCATATGCAGGCATCTACTGTCTCTCCTTATGTTACCCTGTAGAGACCATGGCTTAGGGAACTGGAACAAATGTTGATACTCTGAATGTGGCTATTGTTGTTTTTATCACTAACCTGTGAGCCTTGTGTCTTCTGCATATATCCATGAAATATGGTGGAACAGCTTTTAACCTGCAAATAGAGCACGCTGTCACACCCTTTCATAGCTGCTAACATTGTTAAAAGACTGAGGTGAAACTCAATTAAATTGTATGGAAAAATCTCTCAGACACATGTTGAGGAAAAAAGTCTCAAAACTATGTACATATTCATACATGCATATATGTACATCTATTTATATGTATTTCCTCACAGTATAAACCCATTTTTGAATCCAACACTCAGGCAAAGTGTGAATGTGAATATTTGAGGAACATCTTGAAAGAACATAGATCAAATAATTACAGATGATTGCTCATCAGTGGTAACTGAACCTTTCGGCTGGAGGTTAGAGCACCAAGGGTATTGAGCAGAAGGGTCAGGTAATTGGTTCAAGCAGTGGATTCATTAGGTCTCCAGGTGAGGGGCACCCTGTGTGACCGAAGATTACACGGATGTAATCATTTCTTTGTCATCTGGACTTCCATGGCTAATCGCATTTGCTAGGAGAAGGAGACTAAATGCATAGTGTCCTCTTAGCAATATTTCCCTGAGTGAAAGAAGGCTTAGAGTAAGGGACTCCACGATCCATGTTGTCTATGAGATATGGCTCCTTGGAGGATGTGCCATAAATTATAAAATTCTGGTCTTTGCACAACAGAGATGTTTTGTAATGTAAATGCTGGGGTTTTGTGACAGAATCCAGCAAGTCCTCATTTGCAGGTCTCATCTATGATTCTGGGGCAGCATATTACGCGCACTGTGGGAAGAGAGACCTGGAAATCCACACGGGTGGCCCATCTCTGTTTCACCCACACTTCTCGACTGAGGGTATCCTTACCATATTTTGAAAAGCTTGACGCTGGATATGACATCTGACTTCTAGGAGTCTGCTTTGGTCATAAGAGCTTCTTTGCCCAGTGTCCTCCTCTCCTGACAGTCTCTACCCAATCATTATTGTATTTTGATTGTTCTCAACAAAGACGTCAAAATCTAACAAACACTTTTCAATAATCCTTCTATATTTGCCTAATTAGAATTACCTTTGCTTGCTTTTCTAACTTTTCCTGGGATTCTATGTTACTATTTATCCCTGATTACCTTTCTGGCATCTCTTCATTTAATGAGCATTTACTTTACCCTAGATAACTTGTCCTTGTTTCCTATTTAATACTCACCATATCGCTGAGACTGGTGTTATTTCCATTTTGTTTATTTTACAGAAGAGAATAATGAGGCTCAGAGGATGACATAACCTGCTCAAATCACACAACCAGTGAATCAGAGAGCACTTTGGAACTCATTGCAATTGCAAAGCCTGAGCATTTACCTCTTTTCTAATTTTTTCTTGACTCTTAAGTGTTTTCCCCCAAATTTCTTTTCTTATGGTACATGCCTATTGTTCCAAATTTGTATTTATCACACTTTTCTGGATCCAGAGTCTCCTTGAGAGTTGGATAAAAGTCCGTGGACTTGTTTCCCAGAAAAGTGCCTATAGAAATAAACACAGGAGTACCTCATACTTTGATTGGAGTCACACTGAGATCTGGCCACATCATCAGGCACTGGGTATGTGTGTTTGCATAGTGATCTCAGGAAGTCTAGGACCTCCACTTAGTACTTATTTGTAGCTGCTCTTCAGCGCAGACACTGCTGGTGCTCCGATTCATCCCTTCAAAGTGCCACCTTTGAGTTCAGCTACAAATGGGGTGGCCAGGGCCCTGTGATCAAACTTAGCCAGGTAACTCCTTGCTAATTTTCTATATCAGCAGTTCTACCTCAGATGACTGTGAGAGCTAGGGGGGTCATATTAAGTGCAGCTTGAACTAACAGGATGTTTGCATTTTTGGGACCAGTTTGGGGCACTGATGTAGGAATTTATGAACCAAGATCCTTCTCCCTTGTACTTTATGTGCACATTTCTGGAGAGCAATCTGTGTTCTTCCGGCAGGTACTGGTGGAATTGAATTCCTCTGCCCATTGTGACTTTAAGAAGACTATGTATGCGTTTGTGTATGTGTGTGTATTTTGCAGTACTGGTGATTGAACTCAGGAGTGCTTTGTCATTATCCCACTCATCTTTAACCCGAGTATCCAGTTACTTTTCTCTTTCCACAGATGAGTAATGCTCTGTAGCTCTTCCAAACATATTCTTTCAAAATGCATCTGGCTTCAAAGTCCTCCCACTCAGTACTGGCCCTGGGATGACTTCCCAAATGACCCAAGTGCACGCTCTTCCTTCAGACCCTTTCTGAGGGAAATCTCATCCAAAAGAAGCAACTCTCAGATTTGCTTTTATAGCCTGCACTTATTTTTTTCCTACTGCAATGACTGAATCTTTTAACTTGCAGATTGTAGGGAGTCTTCGCTCTGAACACATTCCACGCACTAATGTTCCTTATTGTGGGTGGTGACTCTGTGATGAGGGGGGTCCTCACGATAAACAACAGAGAGAGAAAGAACAACTTTGGTGACGCCCCTGACTTGTCCCGCTTCCTCGTATCGTGTTGCTGCATCCCATCTTTTTGATCATCAGTTTGCCTCCCGAGCACCTGTCTGCCGCCTCACCACCCTCCCTCCCCAGCCCCGTTACAGCGCATCGGTCGCCGTGAGTTCTGCACATTCTCATCCCTCTGTCATTTCAGCCACCTTTGCTCACTCTTTCTTTTTCTTTTTCTTTCTTTCTTTCTTTCTTTCTTTCTTTCTTTCTTTCTTTCTTTCTTTTCTTTCTTTCTTTCTTCCTTTCTTCTTCCTTTCTTCCTCTTTCTTTTTCTTTCTTTCTTTCTTTCTTTCTTTCTTTCTTTCTTTCTTTCTTTCTTTTTCTTTCTTTCTTTCCTTCCTTCCTTCCTTCCTTCCTTCCTTCC